GGAGATTTTAACATCCATGCTGACATTGAAGGCGATAGCTTAAGAGCAGCCTTTAATGCTATCTTAGACACTGTTGGCTTTGTTCAAAATGTGAATAGTCCCACGCATTCTCATCTTCATACTTTGGATCTTGTGCTGACATACGGCATAGAATGTGAAGAAATAACAGTATTTCCTCACAACCCTGTCCTCTCTGACCACTTTCTAATAACCTTCAGGATTACTTTAACAGAGTTCTCCTCCCCCAAAAGAAGGTTCAATTTTAGTAGATCTTTATCAGATAGTGCAGTTAAAAATTTTAAAGAATCTGCTTCACTTTCTCTCTCCTCTGTGTCACTGAGCAGTGCTGCAGAGTGCAAAAGCTTAGCTTATTCCCCTTCACAGGTTGATGATTTTGTTGATGGGGTTGCTAGTTCTCTGCGTATTGCCTTAGACAACGCAGCTCCTTAGAAAATGAAAACCGTTAAAAATAGAAAGCTTGCTCCTTGGTTTAATGCAGAGCTGCGTACTTTGAAGCAAAATGCTAGGAAACTGGAGAGAAAATATCGCTCCACAGGCCTGCGAGAGTCCTTCCTAGTCTGGAAAAATGGTTTGCTGCTGTATAAGAGGACCCTTTGTAAAGCAAGAGCAGCATACTTCTCCTCATTAATAGAGGAGAATAAGAATAATCCTAGATTTCTTTTTAATACAGTTGCCAAACTCACCCAGAGCCATAGCTCTGTTGAACCGTCCATTCCACCTGCTCTTAGCAGCAATGATTTTATGGGATTCTTTATAAATAAGATTGATCTTATTAAAAATAAGATCATAAGCACTCCTCTATCCGCGATTGTACCTGAGGTAGTCATGGAATCTGAACCGGGTTTAGACTGCTTTGATCCAGTTGAACTCTCTGAATTAGCAAAATTATTGTCTTCATCTAAGCCTTCAACTTGTATGTTAGATCCAGTTCCAACCAGGTTATTTAAGGAGGTATTCCCTTTGATCTCCTCCTCCATTTTAGATGTGATTAATCTATCTCTGTTACAGGGATATGTACCTAAAGCTTTTAAGGTTGCTGTAATTAAACCTCTGCTTAAGAAACCGTCTCTTGACCCAGATGACTTGGTCAATTATAGACCTATATCCAATCTTCCTTTCTTATCCAAAATTCTTGAGAAAGTAGTTGCCAAACAAGTTTGCGATCACTTACACCATAATGAACTTTTTGAAGAGTTTCAGTCTGGCTTTAGAGCTCATCATAGCACTGAAACAGCTCTTGTGAAAGTCACTAATGATATTCTCATGGCCTCAGATAATGGACTTGTATCTGTGCTCGTCCTGTTGGATCTTAGTGCTGCATTTGATACAGTTGACCATAATATTCTTTTAGAAAGACTTGAATATTTTGTTGGAATTAAAGGAACAGCACTAGACTGGTTTAAATCTTATCTATCTGATCGAATTCAGTTTGTTCATGTTAATGATAGATCTTCAACACGCTCAAAGGTTACCTGTGGAGTACCACAGGGATCAGTGCTAGGACCAATTCTCTTTACTTTATACATGCTCCCAATTGGTAGAATTATTAGACAGCATGGGATTAATTTCCACTGTTATGCTGATGATACTCAGCTATATCTGTCTATAATCCAGATGAAGCTAACCCATTACATAGATTACAGGCATGTCTTGAAGACATAAAAACCTGGATGACTCTTAACTTTCTGCTTCTGAATGCAGATAAAACAGAAGGTATAGTCTTTGGACCAGAGTCTCTGAAAAAGAAGCTGATTAGCCAGTCACTTCATTTGGATGGGATTAAACTGATTTCAGATAATAAAGTAAAAAATCTTGGTGTTATTTTTGATCAGGACCTGTCATTTAAATCCCATATCAAAGAGGTTTCTAGAATTTCCTTCTTTCATCTGAGGAACATTGCAAAAATTAGAAATATCCTGTCCAGGGGTGATGCTGAGAAACTAGTCCATGCATTTGTTACTTCAAGGCTGGACTATTGTAATTCTTTACTATCAGGAAGTCCACAAACTGTAGTTAAAAGCCTTCAGCTGATCCAAAATGCTGCAGCCAGAGTTCTGATGAAAATTAAAAAGAGAGATCATATCTCGCCTATCCTGGCTTCTCTTCATTGGCTTCCTGTTAAATCAAGAATAGAATTTAAAATCCTCCTTCTCACATATAAAGCCTTAAATGGCCAAGCTCCATCTGATATCAGAGATCTGATTGTTCCTTATGTTCCTAACAGAGCACTTCGCTCTCAATCTGCAGGTTTACTAGTGGTTCCTAGAATTTCTAAAAGTAGAATGGGAGGCAGATCTTTTAGTTATCAGGCTCCTCTCCTGTGGAACCAACTACCAGTTTTAGTCCGTGAGGCAGACACCCTGTCTACTTTTAAGGCTAGGCTTAAAACTTTCCTTTTTGATAAAGCTTATAGTTAGGGTGGCTCAGGTTATCCTGAGCTATCTCTATAGTTATGCTGCTATAGGCTTAGACTGCTGGAGGACATAGGGACCCCCATTTCATCATTCTGCTTCATTCTCTCTCTGTTCTCCTATTCTGCAGAATCTGTTAGTTCAATCTCTAACCTTCTGCTCTCTCTGCTTTTCCTCAGAGTAGCTTTGCCTCGTCTGTTCCTGTTTGGCTGTGACGTCATCCTGGAAAGAAACATCAGCTGTGCTGCTTCCATCAACACCCTTGTTTATAGATGTTGGAGATCGGCCTGTTTTCCAGTGTGGTCCTGTTTCTCTGGCCGTGACTGAGTGGATGTGCTCTCTTCGTCCTCTGGCATGGGAGCTGCCTTGGAGCTCGTCTGCCTGGCTGTGTGTTTCCTGGACGGGGCCGCCTTTTACAGCTGCTTTTTGTATCTCTGTTTCTGTCTCCTTGAACCCCAGTCGGCCTCGGCAGATGGCCGCTCACACTGAGCCTGGTTCTGCTGGAGGTTTCTTCCTGTTAAAAGGGAGTTTTTCCTCTCCACTGTCGCTACAAGCATGCTTAGTGTGGGGGATTGTATTTGAGTCAATGAGTCAATGCAATCAACTGGTTTTCCTTAGATAGAAAACTTTGTATCAATTTGACTGTATGATCTGGTTGAACTGTAAAGTGCCTTGAGATGACATGTGTTGTGAATTTGGCGCTATATAAATAAACTGAATTGAATTGAATTGAATTAAGACCTGGATCACTGTTGGATCTGTCTGCTATGGAGGCACCAATATGATCATATGGATCCATATCTGATATCTGTTAAGGTTAATAAACAGCATCTATTAATATTATATCTATATTTAGTGAGTAGAGCACTAACCTATCCTAACCTAACACGATCCTGGGCTGCATCAGCGTCTGTGTTGGAAAAGCAGAGTTTGGTCATGTGACAAACACAGACAGAAAGAAGATGGAAATAAATGTCAGATGTTAGCATTAGCCTAGCTTATACATAAGACCAATATGGATCACCATGGTAACCATGATTGTTTTTGATACACTATATTGCCAAAAGTATTTGCTCACCCATCCAAATTATTGGAATCAGGTGTTCCAATCACTTCCATGGCCACAGGTGTATAAATTCAAGCACCTAGGCATGCAGACTGTTTTTACAAACATTTGTGAAAGAATGGGTCGCTCTCAGGAGCTCAGTGAATTCCAGCGTGGAACTGTGATAGGATGCCACCTGTGCAACAAATCCAGTCGTGAAATTTCCTCGCTCCTAAATATTCCACAGTCAACTGTCAGCTGTATTATAAGAAAATGGAAGTGTTTGGGAACGACAGCAACTCAGCCACGAAGTGGTAGGCCACGTAAACTGACGGAGCGGGGTCAGCGGATGCTGACGCGCATAGTGCGAAGAGGTCGCCAACTTTCTGCAGAGTCAATCACTACAGACCTCCAAACTTCATGTGGCCTTCAGATTAGCTCAAGAACAGTGCGCAGAGAGCTTCATGGAATGGGTTTCATGGTCGAGCAGCTGCATCCAAGCCATACATCACCAAGTGCAATGCAAAGCGTCGGATGCGGTGGTGTAAAGCACGCCGCCACTGGACTCTAGAGCAGTGGAGACGCGTTCTCTGGAGTGACGAATCGCGCTTCTCCATCTGGCAATCTGATGGACGGGTCTGGGTTTGGCGGTTGCCAGGAGAACGGTACTTGTCTGACTGCATTGTGCCAAGTGTAAAGTTTGGTGGAGGGGGGATTATGGTGTGGGGTTGTTTTTCAGGAGCTGGGCTTGGCCCCTTAGTTCCAGTGAAAGGAACTCTGAATGCTTCAGCATACCAAGACATTTTGGACAATTCCATGCTCCCAACTTTGTGGGAACAGTTTGGAGCTGGCCCCTTCCTCTTCCAACATGACTGTGCACCAGTGCACAAAGCAAGGTCCATAAAGACATGGATGACAGAGTCTGGTGTGGATGAACTTGACTGGCCTGCACAGAGTCCTGACCTCAACCCGATAGAACACCTTTGGGATGAATTAGAGCGGAGACTGAGAGCCAGGCCTTCTCGTCCAACATCAGTGTGCGACCTCACAAATGCGCTTCTGGAAGAATGGTCAAAAATTCCCATAAACACACTCTTAAACCTTGTGGACAGCCTTCCCAGAAGAGTTGAAGCTGTTCTAGCTGCAAAGGGTGGACCGACGTCATATTGAACCCTATGGATTAGGAACGGGATGTCACTTAAGCTCATATGTGAGTCAAGGCAGGTGAGCAAATACTTTTGGCAATATAGTGTATGATGAAGGGGAAAACTCACGATCTCTAAAATGTTTGCTGGGATTCCGTCTCCTGAACTCTGAGCACATTTTTTTTGTTGTTGTCATCATTGTAAGGCTGCTGCTCTGTTCCTTTTCCTCACATAATAAAGTGTGAAATCGGTGAATAATTGATGTTTTACAGAAATCTTCCTCGTCTTATTAATCAGTGGTGAGTTTGGTCCCATGAAGGAGCGAGCAGACGGCTCTAAACCTGACTGCTGGGGTTCCTCTCTGCTTTTTCTCCACAGCCACGCAGGTCAGCCCCTCAGAGCTACAGGACGTGTTTCAGGAAGCCTCCTCCAGTATCTTCCAGATTAACACCAACGGTAAACTTAGAGTCTTTGTTTGGAATAAATTCATCTCTCTCTGATTTACTTCATTTGATTTTCATTTTTTCTGTTCTTTTATCGATTAACCCACCAAACAAAACTCCAAACCATCTTTTGTTCTGTGACCAGGGATTCATGTAGCTGGGAGCATTTCTTTATATTAAAAAAAAAAATCTCAGGTAAAACAAATCATTCAGGTTGCTTTAAAATCAGACTTTTATTCTGAAGGAACGCTTTCTTTGTGAATCATTGTGTTTTATTTAAGCTAAGGTTGTGCTGTATTCACACTAAATGCATTTTAAGTGTCAAAAAAGCGTCCATTTAAAGTGTCAAAAAGGCGTCCATTGCTGCCAGAACCCCCGGATGCTGAAAGCTTTGGGCTCGGGAGGCTCTGTTATAATATTTATTTATATATAAATCATTTTTTAGGTTTGTGCTAAAAACTAAAACAGGAACATAAAATCAAATATTTTTAATCAGCAGGGTTTAACATTTTTAGCTAATGTAGGTCTTGATTAAAAGTTTTTCACCATAGTTCAATAAAATAATATTGCAATAGATTAATAATAACAATGATAAATCATAATAATGATTAGAGCACAATAAAAAAAACCTTCTCTTGGCTTTTTATAAGCAGTGGAGTTTAACTGTGGTGAACTTTAGATGCAGACAGCTCTGCAGCACAGACCACAGCTTGCATGTAGCGTCTGGCTCCCAAACAGCCCCAGGATCAGCTTCTCTGATTGGTTGACACTCTGCGTCCAGCTGATGTTTTAACTCTAGCCGCCGCTATGGAGGTGCTGAACGCACATCAGGTCAAACTCGAAGTGCGAAATATGCAGAAACCTTCAAAAAGCGCAGTGTAATACTTTTATAACAGGATAGATTCTAGATATATTTTTATCCAGATTAAACTTTTTTTTTCTTAAAAACAGGATTAAATCAAAGGAAAACATTTTCTCACTTTTCCTAAAGAATCCTTCCATACCCAGAGCAAGCTGCAGCTGGGTGTTGGTGTTGGATTCCTAGTGGGATGATTAGTGACCCAGGCATCGTTCTCCAGGGCCTGGGGAGCTTTGTTTTGACGCAAGGCCTCCACTGGGTCATCTGAATATGGATAAGAATTCCAAAAAGAGTTTTAAAAAATCCACTGGACTTTGGTTTCCAAGTTTGAAGACGTTTCTCTTCCATCCAGGAACTTTTTCAATTCAAAATGTCAGAAATAGCGTTTAGTTCCAGGTTTTATCCAGCAGCCCAACAAAGCCTGGTTTTAGTTTAGAAAACATGCAAATAGAAACTGATGAACGGGTCCCCCCCTTTGGAATGGGGGTCGTTTGGCTTCTTTGTTAGCCTGCAATGCCCCATACCTGTCTATGTCTCTGAAAGGGGGTCGTTAGAGGGAATTGCTGGCTTGGATGAACAGGCGAGGTCCTCTGATCTCCTGTAGAGGGGTTGGGGCTGCCATGATAGCAGGAAGGAATCAACTCTATCGCTGCATTTTAGGTTTTTGAGTCCCCCCCCCCCCCCACCCCCTTACCTATCAGCCTATTGTCTGAAAAACCAGCCACTAGTGCTGTAAAAACTCAAAAAAAAGAAAAACAGCTTCCTGGATGGGAAGCAAAACGTCTTCAGAGTTTGAACTCCTTGTTATGCAGCTGCTGTATAACAAGGAGTTATACAGCTGGATAAAAACTTTTGTTTATTACCTTTTTTTGGACTGACTCTGACCTGGATGACTGAGAATCTTCACCACATAATGATGAGAATACTTTTTTTGTATTCTTGGGAAAGAGATCAAAGACCAGGTTTGCTTGGGAGCTGAAACCACAATCCTCTCTCTCTGACCACTGATGGCTTTTCTCTTTAAAACAAAAATGGATTTAAAGTTTTTATAAACTTCCAAAGATGAATTTCTTAGTGAGATGGAAGCAAACCAACCTGATTGAACCAATAGAAAGAAATTCAGCCCCAATTTCAGCCCCCATTTTCTGTATTTTCCAGCGATCTGCAGGAATTTGTTTAAATTGTGCTTTTTAAAAAAGCACTTTATAAATAAAATTGAATGAATAATAAAGAAGCTGAGAACTGTTATTATTTACTGTCTGGTGATCTGAAGCATCATCTGAACATAAGGGTTAGTATTCCTTATAGAGCTGCAACTAACGATCATTTAGGTAATAGAAACGAACAGAAAATGAGCTAAAACTTCCAGGAAAGCAAGAACAAACATAATCTGTTGATTATTTTTTTTATTAATTAATTGGATAGCAAAATGCTCCATAAAGAAGATTTATTACACAATCAAACCAGTTTAAACTAAAATGTTTCCACTTGTGGAGTTCTAGATAGAACATATGGACAGGGGACTTTAAAGAGTTTTTATTATCTTTATTGCAAAATATTTATTTCTATAGTTTTAATGTAATTCCTGCTCTAAGTGTGTCACTCTGTCAGCTAAAGGCATGTTTTACAGTCTCTATACTCCAGTTAACGATCAATTAGTAATTATTTCAAAATTCAATTCAATTTCAGCCCTATTTGGTATTTTAATTTTTTTTTATTGATGTTATGGTTCTATCATTCTCAAATGTTGCAGAGGTATTTAGCTCATATCCATTTCTAAATAAGGTTCAAACTTATCTGTTAAAAAAAAAAAAAAGATTCCAGCTTCTTTTACTGATTCTGAGTTTGTAGAAATTAATTTTATTTTCTCTTGGTGTTTGTTTGTTTCTTCAGTGGTTTCCTTGGAGAAAAGTCTTCAGTCGCTGGGTACGTCCAGAGACACAGCAGAGCTGCGGCAGAGCCTGTGAGTAGCACACAGCAGAGGAGGCTTATTTTTCCCTTTGTTTTTACATCCTCTTCCATATTGATCGTTCTTTTCAGCTGAACTCCTACAAATGACCAGATTCAACGTTGTTGACAAAGTGTCCAATCTGAGATGATTGCAGCCGTTTAACATGCAGCACATCCCGCTGCTTCAGCCGGCATGTCATCAATCCCATCGAACAATTTTATGACGGCCTTGGAAGCTTTCAATGCTCGGCTGCTTTTCCTTTCACCTGTCTGCATTGTTTCTGCTACAATGACGGTTCAGGAAGAAACAAACAACCACGCTTTTTTAGAAGATTAACACTAAAAGATGCTTTAGGTCGTTCAGCTTCTATCCAGATCTAACCAGAAGTTAAACTATCACTTTTTCACAGTTTTTGTTTGCCCACTTCAGTCCGTAACACTATTCTATTTACAGAACACTGTGAAAATATTCATAAGTCTTGGACATTTTTACATTCGATCACCTTAGAAATTCATGTGAGAGGTCAGCATAAAGTAGAGCATGATTGGATATTGTTTTCCTTTTTATGTTTTATAGGCCTGATATTTAACAGTCAGCAGGACAGAAGGGAAATACAGGCCGTAAATGACCAGGCCGCCATCTGAACCATGCAGACAGTGATGAGAACTTAAAGGAGAAGTCCGCTCAGCCAGGAATAATCAATGGATCATTATTTATACCTAAAACTAATAAGTTCGCTGTGATTTAATGAATTTAGCGTTATTCAGTAAAAAAAAAAAGCAACAATTTTCGTTGCGATCACTGAGTCTGGGAGCGGCCATTTTTGCCCAAATATAGTAGCCCCTCCCTCCTGCCATCTTCCAGCAGTGACGTCACGGTGCGGTAAGCCTAGCGCCATTCTCCCCGCTTTACAAGCTAAATCAATGGGAACTACTAGACACATCTGCAATCAACAACAATTATTGAAGATTTCCAGAGGACTTCACCATTGGAATTCCATCCATCCATCTTCCTCCGCTTATCCAGGGTCGGGTCGCGGGGGCAGCAGCCTAAGAAGGGAGGCCCAGACTTCCCTCTCCCCAGCCACTTCTTCCAGCTCTTCAGGAGGAACCCCAAGGCGTTCCCAGGCCAGCCTAGAAACATAGTCTCTCCGGCGTGTCCTGGGTCATCCCAGGGGCCTCCCCCCGGTGGGACGTGCCCGGAACACCTCACCAGGGAGGCATCCAGGAGGCATCCTAAACAGATGCCCAAGCCACCTCAACTGGCTCCTCTCGACGTGGAGGAGCAGCGGCTCTACTCCGAGTCCCTCCCGGATGACCGAGCTTCTCACCCTATCTCTAAGGGAGAGCCCAGCCACCCTACGGAGGAAACCCATTTCGGCCGCTTGTATCCGCGATCTCGTTCTTTCGGTCATGACCCAGAGTTCATGACCATAGATGAGGGTAGGAACGTAGATCGACCGGTAAATCAAGAGCTTCGCTTTTTGACTCAGCTCTCTCTTCACCACGACGGACCGGTACACCGCCCGCTTCACGGCAGACGCTGCACCAATCCGCCTGTCGACCTCCCGCTCCCTTCTTCCCTCATTCGTGAACAAGATCCCAAGATACTTAAACTCCTCCACTTGGGGCAGGACACCCCCCCTGACCTGGAGAAGGCACTCTACCCTTTTCCGGCTCAAGACCATGGCCTCGGATTTGGAGGCACTGATCCCCATCCCGGCCGCTTCACACTCGGCTGCGAACCGATCCAGCGAGAGCTGCAGATCACGACCTGATGAAGCCAATAGGACCACATCATCTGCGAAAAGCAGAGACGCAAATCCTAAGGCCACCAAAACGGATCCCCTCAACACCTTGGCTGCGCCTAGAAATTCTGTCCATGAAGGTAATGAACAGATACGGTGACAAAGGCCTGGCGGAGTCCAACTCTCACCGGAAACGAGCCCGACTTACTGCCGGCAATGCGGACCAGACTCTGACACCGGTCATACAGGGACCTGACAGCCCGTATCAAAGGGCCCGGCACCTCGTACTCCCGGAGAACCCCCCAGAGGGCCCCCCGAGGGACACGGTCGAACGCCTTCTCCAAGTCCACAAAGCACATGTAGACTGGTTGGGCGAACTCCCATGCACCCTCCAGGACCCTGCTGAGGGTGTAGAGCTGGTCCAGCGTTCCACGACCAGGACGGAAACCACACTGCTCTTCCTGAATCCGAGGTTTGACTATCCGACGGACCCTCCTGTCCAGCACCCCCGAATAGACCTTGCCGGGAAAGCTTAAGAGTGTAACTCCCCTGTAATTGGAGCACACCCTCCGGTCCCCCTTTTTGAAAAGGGGGACCACCACCCCAGTCTGCCAATCCAGGGGGACTGCCCCCGATGTCCATGCAATGTTGAAGAGTCGCGTCAGCCAACACAACCCTACAACATCCAGGACCTTGAGGAACTCCGGGCGGATCTCATCCACCCCTGGGGCCCTGCCACCGAGGAGCTTTTTAACCACCTCGGCGACCTCGCCCACAGAGATCGGAGAGCCCAGTCCAGAGTCCCCAGGCCCAGCTTCCTCAATAAGACATGTTGGTGGGATTGAGGAGGTCTTCTAAGTATTCCGCCCACCGACTCACAACGTCCCGAGTCGAGGTCAGCAGCACACCATCCCCACTATAAACAGTGTTGGTGCTGCACCGCTTCCCCCTCCTGAGATGCCGGATGGCAGACCAGAATCGCTTCGGAGCTGTGCGGAAGTCTTTCTCCATGGCCTCTCCAAACTCCTCCCACACCCGAGTTTTGACTCAGCAACCATCCGAGCCGCATGCCGCTTCGCCCGCCGGTACCCATCAGCTGATTCCGGAGTCCTACAGGCCAAAAAGGCCCGATAGGCCTCCTTCTTCAACCTGACAGCATCCCTTACCGGAGGGGTCCACCAACGGGTTCGAGGGTTGCCGCTGCGACAGGCACCGACAACCTTGCGGCTGCAGCTCAGATAAGCCGCCTCGACAATGGAGGAACGGAACATGGTCCACTCGGACTCAATGTCCCCCACCTCCCCCGGGATGTGTTTGAAGTTCTGCCGGAGATGGGAGTTAAAGCTCCGCCTAACAGGGGACTCCGCCAGATCTTCCCAGCAGACAGACCCTCACAACACGTTTGGGCCTGCCAGGTCTGACCGGCATCCTCCCCCACCACCGGAGCCAACTCACCACCAGGTAGTGGTCAGTGGAAAGCTCAGCACATCTCTTCACCCGAGTGTCCAAGACACTCGGCGGCAAGTCCGATGAAACGATGACAAAGTCGATCATCGCAATGCGGGCTAGGGTGTCCTGGTGCCATGTGCACATATGGACACCCTTATGCTTGAACATGGTGTTCGTTATGGACAATCCATGACGAGCACAGAAGTCCAACAACAGAACAACACTCAAGTTCAGATCAGGGCGGCCATTCCTCCCAACCACGCCAGGTCTCACTGTCATTGCCCACGTGAGCGTTGAAGTCTCCCAGCAGAACAAGGGAGTCCCCAGGAGGGGCACCCTCCAGTACCCCCTCTAAGGACTCCAAGAAGGGTGGGTAATCTGAACTGTTGTTCGGCCCGTAAGCACAGACAACAGTCAGAACCCGTCCCCCCTCCCGTAGGCTGAGGGAGGCTACCCTCTCGTTCACCGGGGTAAACCCCAACGTACAGGCGCCGAGATGGGGGGCAACAAGTATGCCCACTCTGCCCGGCGCCTCCCACTGTGGGCAACTCCAGAGTGGAAGTATTTCCAGCCCCTCTCAAGGAGACTGGTTCCAGAACCAGAACCATGCGTTGAGTTGAGACGAACTATTTCTAGCCGGAACCTCTCAGCCTCACACACTAGCTCCAGCTCTTTCCCCACCAGCGAGGTGACATTCCACGTCCCGAGAGCCAGCTTCTGCAGCCGAGGATCGGACCGTCAGGGTCCCCTTCCCCGGCCGCCACCCAACACACATTGCACCCGACCCCTATGGCCCCTCTCACGGGTGGTGGGCCCATGTAAGGGGGGGACCCATGTTTCCTCTTCGGGCTGAGCCCGGCCGGGCCCCATGGGTAAAAGCCCGGCCACCAGGCGCTCGCCATCGTGCCCCCCCTCCAGGCCTTGCTCCAGAGTGGGGCCCCGGTGACCCGCATCCGTGCGAGGGAACGCTGAATCCAAATATTGTACTCATCATAAGGGTCTTTGGGCTGCGCTTTGTCTGGTTCCTAACCTATGACCTGTCAGCCTTGGGTGACCCTACCAGGGGCATAAAGCCCCAGACAGCATAGCTCCCAGGATCATTGGGACACTCAAACCTCTCCACCACGATAAGGTGGCAGCCCAAGGAGAGGTCCATTGAAATTCACCAGAGCTATAGTGAAACTCACAATGCCCACGTGCATGGCAGCTGGATGCTGGAATACATCGGGTAAAAGTGGAAAAAAGAGTTATTCCACCTTTCTGATTCCTGATCCTCCACGGACGGGTTGGTCGTTGGATCGCCAACTTGAAGAGGGAGGATTTGCCATCGAAATCAAATCATGACAGAAAGAATATTTTAGTACAAAGATTGAAGTTTAAAAAAGAATTATAGAGCACCAGCCAAGGATGATGATGGATGGATGGATGGATGGATGGATGGATGGATGGATGGATGGATGGATGGATGGGTGGATGATGGATGGATGGATGGATGGGTGGATGATGGATGGATAGATGGATGGATGGATGATGGATGGATGGAAGGATGATGGATGGATGGCTGGATGGATGGCTGGATGATGGATGGATGGAAGGATGATGGATGGATGGATGGCTGGATGGATGGCTGGATGGATGGATGGATGATGGATGGATGGATGGCTGGATGGATGGCTGGATGGATGGATGGATAGATGATGGATGGATGGATGGATGGATGGATGAATGGATGGATGGATGGATGGATGGATGATGGATGGATGGATGGATGATGGATGGATGGATGATGGATGGATGATGGATGGATGGATGGATG